ATTGTTACAGCTAAAAAGTACGCGCTCCCTATATTTATTGCAGTTTTTTGTGGTTTTATAAAGGTAAACAAAGCAGCATTCTGACACAGTATAATAAGACAAGTAGAGTGTAACTCCATACAAACGTGCGCACCGTGTACGAACACACACATTCGCATAATCTCGCGGTGTACAGTCAAGAGCACATCAAGTTTGACACTGTACTTTGGACCGTTTTTATCGTAAGCGGCTTAGAGTTGGATTTAAGTCTTCAGTGCTTGACGTGCTCTTGACCCCATCTAAACTCGCTTTGAATAGCGCGGATCATCCCACGCGCCATTCATTATAGAATTGGAGGTTCGCTCTGTGTTTAAAAAATTACATCAGGCAATTAGTCCGCGATTTCATATTGGAGTCTATTGGATGCTATGTATATTAAATATATATGTGTATGTATTATATATTATGTATTTACGTGTATATAGGTTGCTTGTATAAGTATATATCTAGTCATATAATATTATGTGCTATATTTATATTGTGTTTAAACTATATAATATCATAATTATTTATAAACTTCTTCCTATCTGTTTTAATTAACGTGTAAATGTAAAGTACCCTATGTAAATGTTCATGTTTTATTATTACGTTAATTATTTTGAACCCAGCTCTCCGGTTGACTGGTAGAGAAAGCCTAATGGCATTAAGTCTGCCATTTGTACTGTTTTGTGTGCAATAAAGTTTAAATAAATAAATAAATCAACTAGTAGACTTGTGCATTTTTGTGTTTATGGTTGTTTAAACAAGAATGTCTTAGCGCGTTGCAAACGCGCGTTCGTGAAACGCGCGTTCGTGAAACGCGCGCTAGCATCGCTGATTAGAATCGCGCATGTGTGCAAAGGTAGGGTAGGTATCGCTACCGCATCGCGTGTGCGTCGCTGCATAAAGTCGCCCTGTGTAACCGCTCTTAAATTCAGAATTGTACAGCATTTCATTTCTCGGTCAATTTTTATTATTTAAGTATTCGATTTTTTGATCGTGCAATATTATTTAATAACAATATTATTTAATATTATTTAATAACACGCAAAATAGGCGCTTTGTCGTCGAGTTGCGGATACCAGCCCGTTGCACCAAGTACCAAGTACCAAGTATTATTTAATATTCGAGTATTGTATCGTGAAATATTATTTAATAATTACACGATAATATACTTGAATATTTAAATAATAAATATTGCCACGGAAATTAAAATTATTATTAGAGAACACTGACCCATGACCGTTCTATTTCATAACCATACTCTCATAATCAAGATACCAATCCGCGATGCTGGTACAAAAATATCAGTACGTAAGTACTGCTTTCCAACAAAAGTTATTTCTATAAAGCACGATAATTTTATCAAATTATATTTACAACCTAGACGTACTACTAAAAAAATTATGTGACAACCCTACGCTCCGAGCAAAGTATAGGCATTGACGACGCGCCAAAAAGGCGGAAGTAGCACTAATTGTCTTATTATATTACGCTTATATTAGGTATTGTAGTTAGTACCGACAAAGCGACAAAATGGAATAAGTTACCTGTGAACTGTACAAAACATCATAGACCTCATGGAAATGCTTAGCAAACTTTTCCTGCGTGACAACAGCGCCATCTAGCCGAACGCGCTCACGTACTGCCACTAAATGTGGCGACGTGTACAACCCTGTACGAAACCCGTGCGCGCGTAGTATCGATTCGCACATTGCACTTGTTGAACCCTGAAATATATTGTATTTTCATTGTTTTTTTACAAAATAAACACCTGCTTTACAAATAAGAAGCTTCTGACCGAAGGGGAAAGATGTTTGGGCATCTGATACGTCACGACAGTTTTGTTAGAAGGGAAGATCGAAGGAAAGAGAAGCAGAAGACGACCGAGACGAAGTTATTTAGATCAGATAAGGGAAAAGGGAAAATGTCGTGCGTATCGTATTAGGAAATCAAAGTTAGAGGCTGAATAGAGATAGGGCTCATTCAGAGTGCAGGCGTGGGCGTGGCGGCGTGTGCAGGCAGCGGGTCTTGGCGTCTTGGCTTTCATAGTGCCGAAGCGACTAAAACCGTTAGATCCACACGTCGAAGTTGCAGACAGGTGCTAGACGCTAGACCATACACTGTGAATGGTATAGGCGGATTGACTCAATAGATCCACCCGCACGGCACACGAGCCACCACGCCAGCGTCCGCCTAGACACAGCTCTTAAACAAACATTTATATTAATTGTACTATAAATACTATACCTTTCCCTTGGTCCCGGCAACATGTATCACAGACAGTTCATCCAGTCTAGTCAGAGGTACTCCAGTCCTCAAAAGGTAATTCTCCATGTTTTCTAAGTTTGCGCATTTCTGTATGAAGATTTGGTTGTGTAGAAAAAATGAAAGTAAATTGTTTGCCCGCATTGTCCCATATAGATGTGGGGTCAATGCGGGCGTTCTAGCATAGCGTCAATAGAGCCCATCAAACCAAACCCACATAGCGCCAATCCCCACAAAGGCCCCAATCTAGTTCTAGTCAGTTGAAATTCCCAACACATTGGCAACGCTGGTCTCAGGGTGACGGGCGCAGTGGCAGTATCCCTCGAATCTTTGTGATTTAAAGCTGGAAAGTGGGATTGCAACTGTTATAGACAGGCGTGTCTCTTACTACCAGGCGCACAACTTCTTCGTCCCGTCATTTGATATCATAAAAAAAAAAGGTTAATAGTACGTACGTTAATAGTAGTAGTAACTGGAATAATCCTTAAAAATATACTTTATTTTACTTTTTACATGTTTAGGGTTACAAATCAATAATCTTAATTGTTAAGATCTTCCATTCTTTTTCAAAGCATTCTAATTATGAATCTCACTCAGCCAGTGATTCTACTCATAGAGTACAGCCTAGTCTACAGTACCAAAAAGAAACAGGCATGTATATTTTTTTATGTAAAGAAAGAGGCAAACGAGCAGACGAGGCGCTTGATGGGGTGGTCGTCGTCGCCCATGGACATTTGCAAGATCAGATGAGCTGCCTATGATTAGCCAGCCTTTGACATCCCTGTAACACGCTTTTTGAAGAACCCCAAGTCATAGCTCAATGGAAATACTTCAGGAAGAAGATCATTCCACATCTTGCAGGTTCGAGGAATGAACGAACGTGATGTTCGCATGGTCTTACAATGCCAAGCATCAAAGATGTATGAGGAGACTGTACGACAGAAGGAAGCGAAATAAGTTTTTTCAGGAGCAAGCGAGTTGAAGTCATGGTCTCTGTTTACCCCAGTAGGAGACTGGAATGATGGTATGTATGTACACATCAAATTTTAGTTGCGAAGCTCTTCATGTATCACAGCGCAATAAATTGACTTAACAAATGATTTTGTGCTCTCTCATGTCATCAAAAAGTTTGTGACTTTTAATTTCCCAGAATCAACGGCTTCTTAACAGGTTCCACGGTCAAGATTGATTGATTATTTACTCCTTTATTATGAAAAGTACTAATAATACATACAATATTAAATCGAAATTTCATTAAAAGTAATAGAAAAAGAAATGAAAAATTGTAATATAACTTCGCAATCTGTAAAGTACGTAAGCGAATAAAAAGTTAAATGTTAAAACACTCAAACAAAGTGTAGATAAAAATCTGAATCCGAACCAGATGTTTCTGGTAAATATTACATCAGTGCATGGCCAATCATTTTATTAGTAACACGTTTATTTTTTTACGATACCAAGTATCGGGACGAACATGTCGTGCGTCTGGTTGTAAGCGACACGTTTGTCCACAGCAGTTGACAATTACTATGGAGATAGAAATCTAAAGAAACGTATACCATACTTACTAAACAGTTTGCCTGAGGTTATTAGACTTGAACCTAAGAAATGTAAATTTAAACATCTTTTGTTTCAGCATTTGTTGTCAAACTTAGGGTCGTATTCTAGAACTCTACTCAATGCTCAAGTCAGTATGATTCAAAGCACTAGAAATCATACTCAAGTCCTTGCCATTAGAGTCGTATTTCCAGTGCTTGAAATCATACTCAAGTCTCCTCAAATCCTGACTTAAGCATTGAGTAGAGTTTTGGAATACGAGGCTTAGAGTAGATTATTGTTAAAAAACGTGTTAGGAAAAATATACGTATTAGTAGTTTTAAGATTATGTATATAAAAGCGAGATTCATTTGATCCCACTATGTATTTATCTAAGGGGAACTGTAATGGTTTTTTATATATATCAAATAATAATAAATAACAGCAGTTGCAGTGCTACTCAACGCTTTAAATCGCAAACATCTGAGGGGCACTGCCACAGCGTCACCATGAGACATAAATTGCCAAGTCCCATGTACCTGTACTTTCACCAGCACCCCTTACCCTTCAAAACCGGAACGCAATAATCCTCACATTACTGCTAGGCGGCAGAAATAAGTAAGGTGGCGGTCCTTCCCTGAACAAACTCTCTCACAACGAGCTCTTAGCAGTAGAGTACTTAAGGGTCTGAACAATATTATGCGGTGACTTCAAACACTTGTAAGCCCTGATTATTGATCACCTATATAGCCTCACGATTTGCACTGCGGCCGCTGCATGCGGAGATCCCGGATTCGATTCCCGGTAGGACTAAATTGGAAAGTAAACTTTTCTAAATTAGTTGCTCTAGTACTCATAGTACAGTAGGAATTCCCCAGTTTGTTTGTTAGTTTGCACCAAAACACTGAAAGTTAGGGACACTGGTATTGGGCAGAAGAGGGCTCTAACACAATACTGGTTTAAGCAAACACATGTCACGCTAACGTGAGATTGTAGGTCCTACCACAATTGACCCACCTCTGCACTTATCTATGCCAAAATATACAAAACTCTCCTGGGCTAACATTGGCTAGAGCCAGATGAGTTACAGACGATCAAAGTTCACATGTCTCTACAGCAAAATAAATCTGTTGGTGTGACAAAAGACGCTGGTCGCAGGGATGAAGGGTTGCACAGATCCTACATATGCTACTCTAATAATAATAGCGTTAGTAAGCCAATCACAAAAGCATTCTATAGATGAAGAGTATTTCTCTATTATGACCAGTAATCGGAATTGAGGGTGTTAATTTAACTAAACTAAAGAATAGCGTGGACATTCCCTTCTGACGAACTGACTATATAATCAGTTCAAATATTTGAATATGCGTATTATTTATTGATATTTGAGTACATCGGCGACAAATTATTATTTTCTATTAAGTATTTAATATTTAATAATAATTACCTCAGTGTCTCAAGACGAAAGTCTTTGACCAGTATGTGTTGCCAGTGATCACACGTGTATCAGAAACGTGGTCCCTCACTATGGGCCTCATAAGAAGGCTCAAGGTCACTCAAGAGAAAGCGATGCTCGGTATTTCCCTACGTGATAGAATCAGAAATGAGAAAATGAAAAGAAATGGAGAACTAAGGTAACCGACATAGCTCGAAGAATTGCTCAGCTGAAGTGGCAGTGGGCGGGGGACATAGCTAGGAGAACCGATGGCCGTTGGAGCGGAAAGGTTCTTCAATGGCGACCGCGCACCGGACGACGCTCAGTGGGTAGGCCCCCCACCAGGTGGACCGACGATCTGGTAAAGGTCGCAGGAAGCCGATGGACGCGGGCAGCGCAGGACCGATCGTCGTCGTGGAGATCGTTGGGGGAGGCCTATGCTCAGCAGTGGGCGTCCTATGGCTGAATGATGATTATGTGTTTAATACAAATTATTGTCTCAAAAATAATATTGTAATTGAGTTTCTATAGGTACTTACGAATTTAAATACTTTAGCCATTTTAAAAATAAACATGAGACAACACATATTTTGGAATGTTTAGAAAATAAACAATAAAATAGAAATTTTATACGCGTTGATGACGAAATGGGTACGTCCATACTATGAAAACGTTCATACTTTAAATTAACTCCCTAAATTCCGATATCATAGTGCTGCACTAACAATAACAATATATAGCGGGTGCCATGGAACTCACACGTAAACAACAACAAATTACACACAAGCTCACGAGCGAAACCATTGTAAACCATACAAATATTTCTCCCGCCTCGGGAATCGAACCTGGGATCTCTGCGTGACAGACCAACATGGTAACCGTTCGGCCACGGAAGCAGTTAACTAAAAGTGGTCATTATTACAACAGCAGATACCGTGATACATTAATCACTAAGTTCTCTAAAACTCATTATAAAACAACTGTATAAAGTGCTGTTAATAATAACTGCTATTTTAGTGTTGCGATTGCGTGCAGCATGCAATAGCCAATAGGTAGTGAGAGAGAAATGGCGCTAATCAAATGATTGGACGATGCTCGATTTGCAAATCTAACGATTATAACCTTTCAGTGCACAACATAAAGTCCTCTTTCTCATGTTATATCATATTGTTATCTATTTATTATCCTATTGTCCTAAGTCACATATTTGAAACTATGTTTTGTGCTTTATGCTATTGGAAATTATTCCAACATGCAACAACAGGCAGTTAATGTTAATCAATTTAAATGCAACTAGTGCCGAAAACCGCCAATTTGTTTTGAGTTATTGGTTAATGGTTACAACGAGAATAGCTTTATAATAGTAGCAGATTTAATTTCATTGAGTTGACGCCATTATCCACGATTGAATTGCAAACAACAGGTTACATAACAGTGTTGTCATAGTATTGCCAGAGCCCTTAAGTCGATAATTATAGTTACATGAAAAGTTACATTTTTGTCTACAAACCATAATATACCTACCTATAACCATACCTATGTGTATGTTTATAGTATAACCTAAAACTATAACTTCTATAGTGAATTAATGTATGTTAGTTTGCATCCCTAAACTGCCATGGATTGGAAAACAATTGGTTAGACCACGTTAAAAAGTTTGAACAATATTATATGGCATCATCTACTGACTTGACCCGTTTTAATATCTCTTCTGATCTGTTCAATGGTTGATTTATTTGACTGAAGCAAATTCAGCTTCTGTATGGCTTCCTAAAACAAATGAAAAAATAAATAAATAAACAAACATAAAATAAGAGCCTAGATGTCATGTTGTGAACAACAGTCTGCATAACCATGCCACACCAAACATATTTTAGTTTTAATTGAATTTGCAGACTTTGTTTTTTTTATGTGGTGGGAAGATGCCAACTAAGCCAACTAACTGCAAGTCCCTATTGGAAAAAAGTAGCTATTGATAGAGCTCACTGTCTTATTGGAAAGATCTAGGGTTGGGTTATGAAAAAAAAGCAAGTTGATTTAAGAGATAGACTATAAATAGAGAAGTAAAATAGTAACTCAGCTGAAATAAGTATATTGAGAGAGAAGACTGCCTTGAATTGGAGAATACCAAAATCAACTATTAATATAATTGCTCCTTATAACAAAATTTAGGAGCTATTTATAAAAATGAATCTTCATGCATGAACAGCGCCCCTTAGAGGTGGATGATTTTTTCAAAATTAAATGGGACTACTAAGGAGGTACCCTCTTTCCAACAAAAAAAGAATCATTAAAATCTGTTCACAAATACTGAAGTTATAGCGTAACATACATACAAAAAAAAAACACAGTCAAATTGAGAACCTCCTACAGCCTTTGGAGTTTTTAGGAGTAGGTTTGGAGAAACCCTTGGCCCGTGGGGTCCCAGTGCCCTTCATTTGTATAAAATTTTATCCAAAAAATTAATAGACTGTCTAAGAAACCCAAGGGCGACAGCTACCTAGTACAATGCATTAGCATAGCAATACAAAGGGGGAACGCCGCCAGTATCTTGGGCACCTTGCCGAGGAGATCCAATTTTATCCTAGCTCTACTTCCTAGTGTTTAAGCTCTTACTGTCTTTTCTGCCTTACCTGTTTATTATTAAATAAAAATAAAATAGAATACAATAAATAATAAATAAATTTAGAAAGCTAAATTTATAAATTAATTCTGATCTGGGTGTTTTACATTGTGCCTATGGTATTAAATTTCCTACTCCGGCGCGGAAATCTTTTGGACTTATAATTTAAACAATTAATAATTAAATATTATCATTAATAAGACTGACTGTACTGGCTAATAATATACCACCACTGGAAGTAGGTTTATCCTGAAGTGATAATTTTAAAACAGTCAAACAATTTAATGAAAAAATTAAAAGAAAATGTTCACTATTCTGAAATACTATTTAAAATTTTGCCTCCGACGTTACCTATCACAATATATTTTGGGACATTACAGGAAAATATTTGTTAACTTTTAAATATAAAGATTTTTCTTCAATTCATTATTTTTTATATGAAAAGGAAATTTCCATAAATAAATTATTCCACATACATTAACTAATAATTAAACAGTGAAGGTCAATGTCAAGTGTAAATACGGCTACATACCTCATAACTATACTTGGAGGAGAACATCCTTTGGCACATTCTACTCGCTACGAAACTCAAAAATCGACTGGGGCTAGTCATCAGAGAGTCGACCGACAATCTAGACGCTTTCAGCTGCGTAACCAATTGCGTCCATTGAAAAAACGTGCCTATACGCTTGCACAGTCACCAATGCTCATCGAAAAATGAAATCTTAGTAAGTGGCACGCATACGCAACTTATCAATGAGATATTATGAACAATTGTGACATTTGACCCGCATCTATGCTGTGTCGTCACAGTAAGAAACCTAATATTTCCAGTGTAACACAATTTCTACGAACCAGTGTATACCAAAACATAACCTCAAAGTACATGCATAACAATGACAGACGCACACACACGCACGTGAATGAATTTTGAATTTTGACAACCGGCTTTTTTGACGACTTTTTTTTCATAGCCTAGATGTTTACAAATTGTCATCTTATTAAAATCGGTAAAAATGTTAAATTAATAGAAATGCACGCAGAGCGGATGCCCCAGAGCAAAACCTAATAAGTTCTTTAGACAAAATTTGACAGGAGAGCCAAAAAAACAAAAATCTAAATAGCTCTGCTCTTAAGCAAATATCCTTTTAATGTAAAAAAAAAAGTAACAGTATTAGAGCCGTAGTCTGTGTATTGTCTAAGTATTAGGTACTAGACTGTTAATATTTTAAACTTTAGCCTATTGCAATATGTAGATATTGAAAGTTCTATATCTACCAATTACAAGTTACGACGCGTCGTCATCGCGTCGTCTTAATTTTATATTAAAATTTTAATCAATGTGCTGTCATCTAGCGACAGTAGCTGAATGACGATGAACGATTAACGCTTATTAACTATATCTGAGTTTTTCATCGACCATATCAAATCGTATCAATCGACTATAACGCAGCGGAATAAGATTTACTTTTGTTTGTTATTACAAAAAATCCATTACGATAAACAGAAAATGGAAAATTTATTGAAATTAAATAAGAGTTAACGATTATAATATATGAAACACAAGATAATGGCTATTTGTGTTTTCAAGTTTTTAATATATTATTTTGACTACAGCCGTATAGTCGTCATTTTTGAAGACAGAGTAAAAATGACATTTGTAAGGTTGCCAGTTTTCATATAAATTTAAATAGTTATGTAATTGTTGTTAATAGTTTTATCGAAAAATTGTGAAAGAAGATAAAAAATTGCCAAAAATGATTGAATTGTGAATGTTACGACGATCTAATGATTACTAATTAACTGCGTTATTGCCTTCTTTATTCTTATTTTGACAGTTGGCCTACTAGTACCGAGATCAAGTTTTATTCATACGATACATTTTTACAAGAATAGGCGGATTTGATTATCTATCTCTCTCTTCTCTTCTCATTAATTATATATATTAAATTAAAATTAAAAACTTTAAAATATGTCTCCTCTTTGTATTTTTCATAAACATAGTTCTAAATACAGTGTAAGTATGTATGTATTACCTTTACCAAAAATTGACAATTCTAATGAGCTTGCGCACAGTAATTGGATGAATAGGTCGAGGATGAATCAAATGAAACAACTTCGTCGTGCTATTTATAAGCATGCCATAAGCGTGATGAATATTCAATCGATAATCGATAGAATATTTATCGACTGCCATCACTAGCTGCTCGCAAGCAGTCTTTTATTTTATTTTTTCCGTCCTCTAAGCAAGCAGGTACCACTTTTGAGAAATGAACTGTCATTTTACTCCGTCTTCAAAAAAGTCGATGGTGGTACTTAAGTAAGTGATGGTAGATGTGTTACAGGTTGCCATCTTATTATTAAAATCCGCTTCTATGAAATCTATGAGTAAATACATAGTAAATATGTCATTTTACCTTAGAGGATGGAACATTTTACAAAAGAGATTAAAAAAATATATCTCAAACTGACAATAAATATTTAAATGTCTATTTAGTCAAATAATGTTCGTTCGAATATTTTATCACAAAATATTTTTTTCTAATTAAATATTTTATAATATTGCAAAATGACGGAAACGGACGCTACAAAAAGACCTTTGGAAATGCCAGCTAAATTTATTCCATATCTACAAAAATATAGAATTTACAAGTTGTTCAAGGTAACATTTTGATTTCTGCCCGTTATATTAGCAGAGCGGAACAGAGCGGTTACACACTGCGACTTTTAACAGCGATGCAAACGCGATGCAAGCGCGCGACTGCATAGATACAAACGCGCGATTACATCGTTAGCCTTGGGATCTAAAGGCGATTGCATCGATACAATCGCGAGTTTGTATCGTTGCATTGATGCAAACGCGCGTTTCACCACAATAACCACAGGGTCGCATTTCAGAACGTGACAAGTATCGCCGTGATCATCAATCAACGAAGCATTGCTTGAGCATTAATTGAAATCTTAATTAAGCATTTTGTTTATTCTTGAATAGTTCTCAGTGCCGTACTCAGCTGAACTATACTCAAGTTTGAGTTAGGATTGTCCATGGTTGTATGCGATTTTCGTTCATTCATTTGTATTTATCTATTAATACTGTATCGCCTCTTGTCTTTCTTAAATGAAGAATTTTATCATTGTCAAAATTAAATACGTTACTTTGAAATTTACTATTGGAAATGAAAATTATTTGCTACGATGATCGCTATAATTCCTAAATTACTATGATAATACTATTGGAAATTCTTAAATTCTTTTTCCCATACATACAAACCCAAGCAAAGAATCTGTATTTCAGGTGCGATTGTGTACCCACGATTGTCTGGTTTCGCTCATCTGTTATGATAGGTTAATTTTTTTTTACCATATCTTGGTTTTTAAGCCAAGATATGGTAAAAAAATATATCATTAGGCAGCGATATAGTTTTATAGTTTACTATATCGCTGCCTAAATCTATGTTCCTCCATGTCGTACGGGTCTTGTAGGCCTTTCAACAACCGAAGCAATTGAGTATGATATTCATTATTGATATATTTTTTTTGTTTCATCGTAATATTGTAATTTTTTTGCCCATCATTGGAGTACATAATAATCTGGTTACGCTTGTACTCAAGCGCAACCGGACCTCACTCAAGTAAATACAGATTTTGAGAACACTCAAGACAAGATTTTAGAGTTGAGTACGGTTTAGGAATCAGCAAAGGTGAAACGAATCTCAAACATTGTTTAAAAATAAGCCTCAAGCCAAGCTGTCACCCTCTGACATTACTCAGGTGAACTCCTATTACAGATTCTACGCTTGAGTAATGTTCTGAAATAAAATCTCTGCTTGAAACCGTACTCAAGTCCTGATTTGAGCATTGAGTAGAGTTCTGGAATACGGCCCTTAGTGCTTGGGGTTGAAAGCGTGTACCGCTGCTGGTATCACTTGGAATGTTCGGTAGGATTGTAATGTAGCCAGGACAGTAGTAGACTCCGGAGCCTCCATACATCTTGCTTAGTAAGTTTAAAGTTCAAAATTCAAAAGGGTAAAGAAAAAGTGGTAATAAATCCAGTTTTATAAATAATTCCCGTTTTATTAATATTTGTGATCTTTAAAATGTTTATCGCACTAACTAACTGGTAAAGGCTAACGAAAAGACGTGTTCGCTGCCGCGATCGGGCAGGGAGTGACGACGGAACGAAACAAAATCAGAGTGGCGAGGCAAAGGAATTATTAAAGAACGATTCAAAATTTAAAAACGAGTGGCCCGGGACCGGAGAAAATGCGATAAAAAGGTAGAATGACGACGTAAGGAACTCACATCGTCACAGGGTTCACGACAGGAGCCTCCCGCACGACGACACATGCCATTCCTTTACTGTACGTCTGGCGCACCATTGAATGGACAACAATCGACGAATACCTTACGCCCGCCAACTAGCAAATCCTTTCAACACGATGGCAATCATTATAGTGTACGACATCGATACGATAAGAAAAAGAAATGCGTAAAACATTATATTATGTAATTAATATCTTACCTACACACAGGATATGCTGGCAGATCTGTTGATTACTATGCCGAAAGATCATTTGAAGCACATGAAATTGTTCCTTACCAGACACTTGCATAGGACGAAGGACACTGATAGGATTATTCTACTCGTTTCCCCAGAACTTAATATCGGTAACCAACATTCATGATCAGTACACTACTCATTATATAAAAAAGATTTCTATCCGAAAAATAATTTCATTTTCAATATCGAGTTCTTAGGTTTTCGCGATTGTTACACATAGGAAATGAAACTTTTTTTCCGGATTTAAATCGCGTATATTTGTTTTTTCAAACAAACCGACGTTTCGGGCCCTTTACAGGTCCTATATATTCTCAGGTCCTAGGTATTAATAATTAATAATAAATTGAACTTAATAAAAATTCATTCAATAAAATAATTTGTAAAACTTAATATAGCGTAAATTGGAATGTTTTCTTTGTAAAATTAAAAATAAGGTAGGTATTTAATTAATAACTATTGTAACTATAGTGAAAAAATAGGGTGGTTTGCATCAATATTATACATAACTGGTTGAAGACTGTCGGAAGACCTCAGTCAACCGTGACCATGGGACCTGTAAAGGGCCCGAAACGTCGGTTTGTTTGAAAAAACAAATATACGCGATTTAAATCCGGAAAAATAGTTTCATTTTCAATGTTTTTTTTTATAATATCAAGTGATGGGACTAACAAGTTGTGCACCTGATGATAAGATACACGCCTGTCGATAACAATTGCAGTGCCACTCAAAGCTTTAAATCGCAAAGAACTGAGGAGCACAGCCACTGTGCCCGTCACCCTGAGACATAAGTTGACAAGTCCCATGTGCCGGTAATTTCACCAGCACCCTGCTGACATTACTGCTTGGCGGCAGAAATAAGTAAGGCGGCAGTACTTCTCTGGACGAACGCTTTCACAAAGCGCTCTTCTGCTAGGTACTAATATATATAGTAATCGTAAAAACCTAAGAAGTCAAAATGAATAAACTTTCAGATGTGAATAAACTAGTTAAAGAGTTAACAAAGAATCTCGGGTTTTTCGTAATTACAAGACGCTGCGTTATGGATAGACTAGAAAAAGTAAGTTAAGATTACCTGTTGGAAACGTAAATGATATATACCTGTACATTGACTTACAATTATATGGACGACGGGTCTAATACAAAAACCACAAAAAAAATGTCCCAAGTCAACCTATTTAAACGTAGTGACATGTAAA